CTCCTTTCCCATACCAAGCAAAGCCCGTTGAGTGGTGCGGTTTTCCTGTTAACGTGCAACAGCAGAAACCAAACTAACCCCCCCACCACCCATCCAATTCTCTGGGATGATCGCTTTACCCGTCCCCCCCACCGCGTGGCTGGTATCAGGGAAGATCCCTGCTAGCCAAACGCGAAAAGCTCAGCGCCAATGCCCCCCCACCGCTTGGCTAACTGCAGGGAAGGATTTCTTTTCAGCCACAGGCAAACAGCCCAGTAGGAACGGCCACCTCTGTCCCCTTAATTAAATTCCCGTATTTCAACCAGGTTACCATGAACGATATCACTCTCCTGAGGATAACACAGCGAGATAAAGAACGGATGTTGCTTGAATGCCAGCAAACACCGGGACCATATGCTGCCAGGCTTTGTCATGCAATGATACCAGATTACTTGCTACTAGCATGGAGTGGTCAAGTGTCCTACCATGGAGGACGGAATAAGGCTGCCCTGCTCAGAAACCTTGTGGAAAGACTTTTGGAGTACCTCCAGGAGAGCTTCATGGAGATGTCCCTGGAGGATTTCCACTCCATCCCCAGACATGTTAACAGACTTTTCCAGTAGCTGTACTGGCCGAGAATGCATCCCAAGTCCTCAGGGTAAATTAATCTTTAAAAAACACTTGCTTTTAAACTATGTTTTATATTTACAAAGGTACACTCACCAGAGGTCCGTTCCATGGCCTCATTTACTGGGATAATGCCTTGGGAGGGTACTTCAGTGAGGCTGAGAAAAAGATCCAGGCTGTTGGGGAGAAGGGAGAGCTGTGTGCTCTCCGCAAACTTGTCCGCCTCCTCCTCTTCATCTTCCCCGTCCGCAGAATCCTCAGGCATGGCTGAGATTACCCCCTCCTCGGAATCCACAGTCAGAGGTGGGGTAGTGGTGGCGCCCCCCCCCCCTAGAATTGCATGCAGCTCAGCGTAGAAGCGGCATGTCTGTGGCTCTGCCCCCGACCTCCCGTTTGCTTCTTTGGTTTTCTGGTAGGCTTGTCTGAGCGCCTTAACTTTCACGCGGCACTGATATGAGTCCCTATTGTGGCCTCTCTCCATCATGCCCTTGGAGATTTTTTCAAATGTTTTGGCATTTCATCTTTTGGAACGTAGTTCTACTAACACGGAATCCTCTTCCCATATAGCGATCAGATCCAGTACCTCCTGTATGGTCCATGCTGGTGCTCTTTTTCGATTCTCGGACTGCATAGTTACCTGTGCTCTCCATGCTGGGCAAACAGGAAATTAAATTCAAAAGTTCATGGGGCTTTTCCTGTCTACCTTGCCAGCGCATCCAAGTTCAGATTGCTGTCCAGAGTGGTCACAATGGTGCACTGTGGGATAGCTCCCAGAGGCCAATAGTGTTGAATTGCGGCCACACTAACCCTAATTCGAAACGGCAATGTCGATTTCAGCCCTACTCCCCTCATTGGGGAGGAGTACAGAAATCGATTTTAAGAGCCCTTTATGTCGAAGTAAATGGCTTCGTTGTGTGGACGGGTGCAGGGTTAATTCGATTTAACTCTGCTAAATTCAACCTAAACTCGTAGTGTAGACCAGGCCCAAGTCCGAGTCTTAGGGAGACAAGGGACTTTCCTGACTCTCTCTTTACTCCCTCTCTCTGAGAAGGGCTTCCAGCCACAATAGGAGTTGGAAGCTAGTCATAAATAGCTGCCAGTTTAATGCATGTGTCGCTGACTGCTGTGTGTACTGGTCTAATGATGCAATCCAGAACAATTGCTCCTTTCCTGATGCAGACCCTTGGGGTGCATTTTCTAATGCCAAAACATTTGCATTCGGGAGACTACTTGAACATGTGTGCATTCCTTTGAAGAGTCCATTGCAGATACATTTCCTTGGCCACGCCTCTCCTAATCTGAACAGCTATTTTGCAAACACATTCCACGTGGCCCCTCTCTTAAAAATGCACTACCAGCGCCCACTTTTGAAGAAACTACCACCAAATATAGTAGCACAACACAAAGTTTAAGCCACTGTGTGTTGGGAAACCAGAGCAAGAGAGACTTAAACAATCCATCAATGTTTTATTAAAATTTTTATTCACACGTTTCTTTATGCAGAGTTTGTCCCTGGGGAACACAAATAGAAAGTCAGGATTGCATTTGTTTTCTCTTCTTACTAACAACCTTCATTTGTGCAGCTGCTCCCCGGGGCAATCCTCTGGCAGCTCCAAGACAGGTGTTTGTTTCCAGCTCCAGCTGCCACAGCAAATAAGTTACCATCTTAATAAATTATTATTTTTTAATTGACGTTTGTTTGGCAAGACACACTCCAGTTCATTACGTGCCGTCAGAAGAGCAAATTAGAGTGTTTCCTCCACCCTGTTTGCTGACTCAGGCAGGAGATAAATAAAACTAGGCTAATAAAGCTCGACTTAATTAGTTCTTGATTTCTGCACCGTGACTATTAACACCCCCAGAACATCTGGGGCCAGTCATGTACCGCGTGTGCATCTGTAGACTGTGACAACTGGAATAAGAGGGCATCATGAAAATCTCAATGACAAAGCCTAGCATCTTTTACAAATGAGGGATGCCAATTTTTAAAGGTACAAGACAGATCCCACTGGCATAAGGATGCCATTTTTATTTCTACTTTGGGGTAGCCTAGCTTTAGGTAAGAAAGGACACAGTGTTTCTCTCTGTTAGCCTCATGTCCAGCCCTGAGCAGGCTCTTCCAATGACCTCCACAGGTAACATGTCATAACATCCCTGTATTTCTCGCTTCCACCCTTCTCCAAAGTTGCCTATTCACCCCTTTTCCATTTATTGTTAACCAAAATGCAGTGCTTTAATTCTCTGACGGTCACAGTGCGGGAAAGCAGGCTAGTAAATCTCAACTCACTTTTCACTCTGGAAGCCAGAGAGAAAGCAAACAAAGCTCTTTACACTAATTTCATTTTGTGGCAAGATCATAGTTTTAAACAAAAACCCACCACCAAATGCAAATGAGCAACTGTAAATTAAAATCCCAATCCCACCCAACATACTTGACTCTTCCCACATCATCAAATGTCATGGCTTATGCTTCAAAACAGACAGGAAGAACAGATTTGTGAGATCATGCAAGCCACACCATTCATTATTCTTCTCTCCTTGAATAAGTTATCTTCGGTTTCACAGTAACTATTTAATGCCAATGTACACCAACAAAGCTTAATTCTGCTACCCTCACTCATTCCAAGTAGTACCTTACTCCACAAGTAAGACTACTCACAGAATAAGGCACTACTGGGATGAGTGAGGGTGGCAGAAGAGGGCTCTCAAAGATGGAGAAAAGAGCCAACACTCCCCATGCACACTCACAATAAACGAGTTTATGCTGAAGCAGTTCTGCTCTGATGGAAGCCAGGAGGAACAATTCACAGATAGTAGGAAAGAACTCACTCAAATGAAGTTTGCCTTTGAAGAGTGAATTCAGTGCTCGTGAAACTGGAATGATAGGCACTAGTTTAAAGTCAGGTATACTGCCAACAAGTATTATACAAAATTCTCTCTCAGCTGTCAATGCACTTCAGTCCTTTCCTGTAGCACCCACTACTATTCCAGTCCTAAGGCTACGTGTGTAGCGGGTTTGTGACATGGATGATGGCCCAGAGAGGAACTAGAACAAGACCAGACTCTTTCACTTATGCTCTAAGCATGATGTGAGCCCAGCTCCCCTCAGGAGATAAGTGTCATCAGGCATTACTCTATTAACAACAGCATCTGCAGTTCCTCGGGACAGGTTGTGTAAACACCCCCACCTTGAATAAAACCAATTGCATTTTCAAAGTAATCTCCTCCACTTATACCTGCTAGATTGGCTATGGCAGCAGGTGCATCAGCTAGAACACTGAGTTACTTTTTATTTCTATTCTACCTTGCTGCATTTCATGAGGATAAACACCTGCAACAGAAAGGACAATCTCCAACTGCCAGCCACACCATGGCAAAGCCAAAGAGATTTTTAAATCGGCAATTAGAACAGATTTAAAGAAAGAAAGAAACAAATCATAGGAGGCCAGAGAAAGCACAGAAATGGAGATCAACTTGCTGCACTTTGTCTTGTATCATCTAACGTAGTGCATACAAAAGCATCCCCCCAACCCTGCTATTTCTAGGAGGAAGCTTGAATAAGATTATTGATCCTTTTGTGTACCATATTAGCTACACATCAAACTGATGCAAGGCCAGTAGATGTGGGAGTGTATTGAAAAAAATCCTCTTTTGCTTCTGGAGCCATGGATTTAAATAATCAATTTATCATAAAGGATGAGTTTTGTGGCCTCAAGCTAGTCTATAACAGTTTGAAATCTCTGCTAGAGGATGACACAGGACCAACAGAAGAGGAGAGCTTCAAATCAAAATTGAGGTGCACTGATAAATGCACAGGAACATGTGCATGGAACTCCTCCATCATATCCTCTTATAGACAGCACGTATTTTTCATGAGCATCAAGTTTGCCATACAAAAAATGCCCCGCAAACTAACACAAGGTAGAATTCCAAGACAACCACCAGAGAATCAGTATATCACAGCATGAATTATAGAGGAGCAGTTGGGAAAAGGAAAGAGGCCAACTGAAGTTGCTCAGTTTAAGAGCTCTGCCACAAAAGTCAATGTCTGGCCTTCTACAAAACCAACAGCACTGAGAACTGTGATTGCCATTGGGAGTGGTGGGGATTAAGCCCTTCAACGCCACAGGCACAGCAGCCAATACTTTCTGTAATCCTCAGGCTCTTTGTTCACAGCTATTGGCTATCTGTGTAGTTGAGCAAGAAGCCTGTTCCTAGTTTGTATTACATACTCTGCTCACCCCATTTATAGGGCCTACTGTAAGAAGAATGATCTAGCTAAGCGGAATCTGCTCTGAGAACTGACTTTATCCTGCTTCTCAGCTATAACACAAAGATAATTTGGTTAATATGGACATAGAATCATGGAGATATCTGCTCTGCTATATTCCCTATGTACATAAAGTAGTGCTGGTCCATGTAGTAATTTCTTGGGGAACAGATATTAATCATCAGCCATTGGATGGATCTTACTGATGTAAAAAAAAGCTTGCCATCTCCTCACCTTCCAATTGCATGGATGGATTTTCACTAGCACTTAACATTGAAGCATCATCACATTTGATCACTGAAGCAGATCCCACTTTCCAGCATCTTATTAACGAGAAGATAGCTGAGCAGCAGACACACCATCTCCCACCCCTATTGGTGTTTGCAAGAACATTCTACCCCAGTAGGGGGCACTAAGGGGCACTATTTATTTATTTATTTACCACTTCCTCTTTTTTTAAAGAGGCAGTAAAATGCCTAACCAGCTCACAGCTGATTATATACAACCCTGAATTGGACTAAAACCTCATAAGAGCATATTAAGAGTGGGTGGCTGTGGAAAGAGAATGGGGAGGGGACCGTAGTGTTCCATCTCCACTGTCCCCTCTAGAACCAGCCCACGTATTACTGTTTGAATTCCACTCTCTTTTTCATTAACACCAGCAGTTGTGTTTTCCCAGTGCAACGTCCACTGCCAACAATGGACACACCACGACGGCGAAGCTGCCACTGTGGCTACAGGACTGTCCACGGGCTCCCAAACTCTCCACCTTCTCTAGCTACTGTCAGCCAAAGATAAAGACCACCACCACTTTTTTCCCTGGCTCAGGAGCTTTTCCATTCATTTCCAGTCCATCCTGGGCATAGCCATTCAGAACCAATTGTGCTGTTTTTCTATCATTTGTTTTTAAAAAAAGGAGTTTCCATCTGTTTTCCATGAAAGTTACAAATGGGAGAGTGTCATCCTGTCTTCCACCAGCACAATGTCTGGACCAAACTGGTCTGTGCACTGTTTCACTGTAGCCAGGATGCTCAGGAGCCGCTGGTCCATGGCATCCAAGTGAGGGTCGGAGAGCACTGGTGAGATGGGGTCATGAGACATGGCAGTCTTTAAGGCAGACTTCAGCACTCCATTCTTCAGGTAGTTCAGTCTGTTCCAGGTGGAAACCCGGATGCTGGAAAAGAAAGATGAGCACACATCATACTAGTGCACACAGGACTTCCAGTCTAAGGTCCCATCAGCACTACCATATAGCTGCTCCGTTGAGGAGTCCAGTTACAACATGATTATGCCTACATAGATGGGAGCAAATTATAACTGGGTATCTCTCCGCACTCCCAAATATGATTGTAACTAACATAATCCAGACCTAAAATGTTGGTAGCAGATGAAGGTGAAGGGAAAGTGATCTAATACGTTGCAATTCTTCTACGAATTGCTCCATGAAAGCTCCTGACAGGAAGAGCACAGCTAGGTCAGTCTGAAGGCTTCCCAGACACAGCTGGAAAAGGGAACTGAGTGAGAGGTCTGACTGCTAACCCAAAACAATGCTTTACTCCAGTCAGAACTGAAGAATGCTTTACTCAGCATTACTCCAGTCAGAACTTCATCAACCAACAATCAGTCATGGATGAGAAAAGAGTCAGATGATTAACCTTCCCTACCATGTTCTTTCTACTTTGCCATTTAATCTTTTCACACTATCGCATTTGAACTGTTTTCTTCTGGGGAATCTCCTGGGAATCCTCCCATCAAAGTTGCATGTTGTAGCAATTTGCCACAGCTGATGTCCTGACTCACCTAGCTCCCTTTGGAGTTCATCACTGTCACTGAGTGTTAGGGGAGGGTGGTGTCACCCATGTTATAGGGTACTCCCTATCCCCAGGGGAAGCTGTGAATTCTGCAGTCAAAACAATTGCAACAGATTTTAGCACATTCACATGGCTACCATAGAACATTCTGTTTACAGGCTTCCCTGCCTAGAGGTGTGAGCTGTCCATGGACCACCTGGGCTCAGTGAGAATGAAGACCAGAAGAGCAGGGAGCTGTTCAATCTTCTGCAAGGATGGAAGGGGAATTGCCTCTGGAAACCTCTCCTCTAGGACTGTGTTTGGAGGAACTCGAAACAGAGGACACAGACTCCAAAGGAGCCACACAAAACAAGAAAAAGAAAACATTTAAAAAAATTACTAGGGAAAGCTAAGGAAATTTTTAATCATTTTTTAAAAGCGTTTCTATTTACTTACTTCATGCTCCTGTTGAAATTTCAGTTTTCTGCAGACTTTAGTGTGCTACAGAAACCAGAGGTGTTACAAAAGAAGGTAGGTCAAATGTGCTGTAGTATATAGGGGCTGTATTGGCTGTACTTGCAATCTGAGGAGCTGAGCTTCCGTACTCTGCAAAGCTCCTGGTTTCCAGAGACTCCGAAGAATTCAGGAGACAAACTGAACCCTCGAGGGGCAGCTCAAGGAACTCTCAATAGACTGGCCTATTTTAAAAAGTGATGTGATTTTCATTTCTCCGTTTGCGTTGCCCTGATGTAGCACAGTCATGCAAACTACTGCACCGATTTCCTTTGTTTGGGTTTTTTAAGTGCTCATGCAACATACAGCCTATTTGTTAACTGGACAAGGAGAGCAGAGCCCACAAAAGCAAAGAAAGGCTGGCCTCGTCAGGTAAGCATGGGGCCACAGAACCCAGAAATCAACAGGTTGCAGGAGACAAAAAATGAAAAAAGCAGGATGGGGGTGCAGGTCACAGGGACAAAATGAGGGATTCAGAGTGGGACAGTGAACAGAGAATCCCAGACAACGCCCTCTGCTCTAAGGAGTCAAGGGATACCCTGAAGAACTCTGCCTGGATGCATGCACAGACAAGGGACAAGAAAAAGGCCTCACAGACAGAGAACACCCTTCCCTCTACACAGCACAATGACTAGCAGTTTTGAAGGCTCAAGTCCTCCATATAACCCAAAGCAAGAACCGCACAGGTAGCAGCGGTGCAAGCTTCCACACTGCCTTGCCATTGTACCTCAACCCTCAGAAGGGACATCAGGAATGAGGGTGGTTTAGTTGCCATGCCTATCCAATCCTTGGCTTCTGTCAGTGAGAGTTCCAATGGTGATGCAAACATCTGTCCATCAGGAACTGGCCAGAGACCAGTTCATTTCATATAAGCCACTGAACAGCTGCAGATGGAAGCTACTTGTCATTACTGATCAAAGGTAAATTTGAACCAGTGACCTAAAAGAGTTCTATGTATAACCTGCATGTCTCCAGGCTGTCAGAGGGCTTCAATGCTATGAATTTCAGTGTGCTCCTGATTTAGATTTGGCAATTGCGTACAAATAAACTCAATGGCTTCTCTGTGACTTACTTACATGCAGCACTGATAAAGAGGAGCTAGGATGCTTCTCTCATCCAGGGAGGGGTTTCCAAAACTGAAAAACAAATTAGAAGCAAGTGAGCCAGCTGAACACTCAGCACCCTTTCCGACCTCAGCAGATTCTGTAAGGAATTTGAAATCAATAACCAAACAATTCCATGCTCCAACAACTCAAATCAGTGAAGCTAAAACATTCTCAGCCCATGACCAATTAGACATACAACTCCCAACAGTTTCTGTTAATGTACCCAACAAACAGCAGCAGCAGCTTTAGTTTTTATAGTTCTTTACCCTGCCAAGCCACCTCAAGGCACTTTAAAAACAAGCTGTGAAGAAATTTAGTGATGTAGCCCACATTGCTGAGCTAAGGGGGAAAACAAGTGGGATATCAGTTTAGACAAAGAATGAGCGTATCAGCTCCCTGACATTCCTGGACAGGGAATGAATTGAGGAACAGCCACCTGACACATGTAGATCCCCAAGTTGGCCAACCTCGAGCTGAAGGCCAGGGACATAAAATGCTAATCAATTCTAACCCATCTAAACCTCACTATCACCCTTTCAGCTGGAGAACTGCCAAAAGGACTTCATAGTATATTTTGGGCTCCATTGAAATAGATGCCAAATAAACTTGCACAGAAGTTATTTTTCAGTCACTTATAAATTTAATTTAACAATTTCTTCACAAGCCTAACGAACAGCCTGCTCCTTAACAAGGGAGCAAAATCTGGAGCTGTTTTAGTCATCTGAGTTGCTAAGCATAAAAAAGCCTTAAAACATCAGAGTATTTTTTCACACTTCAGTAACTCAAAGACAGCTGAAGAGACTTGACTCAAAATGTCAGAAGAAATTCACTTCTGGGGCTGAGATGCCCCCAGAGGAAATTGTTTCAGAAGGGTATGAGCATGTGAACACAGGTAGTTATAACGAAAACACAGACATAACCCATCACTATCACCATCGCTATCCATTGACTAATATGTAACTCTCTCCCACTCTAATGCCAGGACATTTTAAAAAGCCACCATTTTTGTAGGATCCACCAAAAGACATCTGAGAGCAGCAGCAATTAACTAATATTCCTAAAGAGGAATACATCCCTGCTGGCATCATGGAAGGAGTCATTGAAGGGGCTGATGCATAAACAGCAATGAAAATTAAACTGAGCCATGTTTATTTCAGACAGATTAGAAATACTCACAATAAGAGAAAGGAGCAGAAGAACCCAATACTTAAAAGGGAAGAAAGGCCAAGAGTAACAAGAAGGAAATGGTATTTTCAAGCCTTCTAAGGGTCTGTCTAGATGACAAAAAAGGTGCTTTAAAATCAAGTTAGCTACCAATCATGGTAGTTCATTGGTAACTCAACCCCAAGGTTAAGTCTTCACTAAGTTAGGAAGTATTTTTAACCAGTGTTATCTAACGTACTAAGATCATAGTGTAGCAAAGTGATTCACCAGTTGGAGCACCTCACTGGGGCTAAGAGCGGTGCTGCACAGTTTTATCCTTTAGTTGTCTCCGTTCACCTTGTGACTTATCCCTCAAGCTGGGTCACCTATGGTCTCACCCTTTTGAAATAAACCAGTGTTTTCACCCAATAGTCCTGTGATAAATGAAGGGGGGGGGGAGAGCTCCCTTTTATGAACAGCCAGCCAGCAAGTAGCTATAAAATCCCTCTTAGTAGCTGTTCTCTAATTGCTCTACCTGTAAAGGGTTAAAAAGTCTCACTGCTATGCATAGGTAAAAAGGAGTGAGTGGGCACCTGGCCAAAAGAGCCAATGGGAAGGCTACAACTTTTTAAAATTGAAACAAGACTCCCCTTTTGTCTGTCTGTGTTTGTTCTCCAGGGAGAGGTAGACAGGGCTGCAACTATGCTGTAAGAAGCTTGGGGCCAGGTATAAAAAAAAATCATCGGTATCATACCTAGAAACTACTCATTTGAAACCCCAGATATGTAAGTAGACCAGGAAATGTCTAGGAAGGCGCGATCAGGTTTATCTCTTTATTTCTTTATGGCTTGTGGACTCCTCTGTGCTAACCCCAGATGCTTTTGTTTTGCTTGTAACCTTTAAGCTAGACCTCAAGAAAGTTATTCTTGATGCTTAACCCTTGAAGTTTTTTTTTTTAAATCTAGCAAATGCCTAAATTCCCAGATGATTTTTTTTTATTAATAAAATTTACCTTTTTTTAAGAACAGAATTGAAGGTGTGTGTCTTAAGAGGTTGGTGTACGTTGTTTAATTAGCTGGTGGAAACAGCTGATTTCCTCCCCCACCCTCCCCTTTCTCAGCTCTTCCTCAGAGCGGTGTAGAGGGGGACGGGGGGGGGAGGAGTTGGATTGGGTTTGAAAGGGCTTGAGGGTACCCAACAGGAAGGAATTCCCAAGTGTGCCTTCCTGGGTTCACAAAGGGGATTTGCATTTGGGTGGTGGCAGCGTTTACCAATCCAAGGTCAGAAAAAAGTTGTAACCTTGGAAGTTTAATACAAGCCCGCAGTGGCCAGTATTAATTTTTAGAGTCCTTGCATGACCCCACCTTCTGCACTCGAAGTGCCAGAGTGGGGTATCAGCCTTAACAAGTCCCTTCCAGCTACCACTTAAAAAACAAAAACAAAACAACCACCTTTAATCCTAGTAAAGACAAACCCCAAATGTAGAGTTTCACACCTTTAAAATAGAAAGGAAGCTTTGGTTACATAACCCCCTAATACAATTTTAAAGGTGTTAAAACTGTCTACACTAAGCCTATACCTATATTACAAGCTAGGAGTGTGATTCCCACCCCACACAGACATACTTGTCCTAGCTCTCCCCTGAGCTAGCACACTAAAAATAGTTGTGTAGCCAAGGTAGCACAGGCAGCAGCCGCACAGGCTAGCCACGCCAAGTACATACATATGGAATTCAGGCTGTTTTGTACTTAGCACAGCTAGTCCCATGCCACCACTGCAGCTGCCCATGCTACCTCAGCTACACTACTATTTTTAGGACACTAGCTCAGATGAGAGATAGCACAAGTATGTCTACATGAGCTAGGAGCCTAACCACCTCTTTTACTCTGTTTAGCCATGGTGGCTTTTTTTGGTACTCTTACTATGGTGTTTTTAAAACGTTTTCACACAGTTTGCAGGCATTTAACTCGTGACTGTTTGTATTAAAATCTGTTTAACTAGCTTCGTCATTTTTTGTGGAGTTCCCCTTTTTGAAGTTAAATGCTACTGTGGTGGGTTTCTTTGGTATTTCCTCCCGCCCCACCCTCACAAGGATGTTGAATTTAATTACATTTCAGTTGCTATTACCAAGCGATTCAGCTATATTCACCTCACGCACTGCCTCTTCCCTGGTGGGTTCCAGGACTAACTGCTCCAAGAAGCAGTCATTAATGGCATCTAGAAACTTTATCTCTGCATCCCATCCTGAAGTAATATGTACCCAGTCAGTATAGGGATAGTTGAAATAAACCATTATTACTGAATTGTCTATTTTTTATAGCCTCTCTAATCTCTCTGAGCATTTCACAATCACCATCCTGGTCAGGTGGTTGGCAGTATATTCCTACTGTTTTACTCTTATAATTCAAGCACGGAATTTCAATTCATGAAGAGTCTATGGTACTGTTTGATTCATTTATGATTTTTACTATTTTTGACTCTATGCTTTCTTTCACATATAGTAAAAAGAACAGGAATACTTGTAGCACCTTAGAGACTAACAAATTTATTTGAGCATAAGCTTTCGTGGGCTAAAACCTACTTCATTGGATGCATGCAGTGGAAAATACAGTAGGAAGATATATAGATATAGATATATATACACATACACACACACAGAACATGAAACAATGGGTGTTACCATACACACTATAATGAGAGTGATCAGTTAAGGTGAGCTATTACCAGCAGGAGAGAGAAAGAGAGAGAGAGAAGGAGAAGAAGAAGAAGGGGAAAAAAGGAAAAAAAGAAAAAAAAAATGTTGTAGTGGTGATTACCACTACAAAAAGTTTTTTTTTTTTCCCCTTCTCCTCCTCCTCCTCTCTATTATTATATTATTTGAAAGGATTTGCCATAAGGAATATTGACAGAATTTTAGCTTGAGCTATTGCAATGGCTAACTATGGGAAAGGCAGAGTGGGGGAATGGATAACTGCGTGCCGCCTTTCTCATCACCAAGTGGCCACCAGCACTAATATGCTTCCTACCTTTTGGCATTGTCCAGGAGGATGAGCATACTGGCTCCTTCATCGTCCTGGAAGCTTTCATAATGATGTCGGTCAGCATTCCCAATCAAATAATCAAAGACGGCGGTGTCAATGATATCAAGGAGGCGGGGGCCTGAGTCATAAGGTGAGGTCTTCTTCACAGCATCGCAGTAGCTCTCGTCATACTCCCACCTGCAGGCAGACAAGGGGAATCAAAGCAATGTCAACCAAGATGGCAATCTACTGCAACCCCCAGGCGCCCCGAAGAAGAGACTTGAGCACTTTGCAACAGTTTTAGACAAACATATCAGCTGACCTTTCAAGTTTTGTTTATAGTTGTCTTTTTACTCACTTATCAAAGAGAGTGGTGTTTAAAAAGTGGATTTTTTTAGGGCTGTCAATTAATAGCACTTAATTCATGCAATTAACTCAAAAAAATTAATCACGATTAATTGCCATTTTAATCGCACTGTTAAACAATAGAATATTAATTGAAATTCATTAAATATTTTGGATGTTTTTCTACATTTTCAAATATATTTTCAATTACAACACAGAATACAAAGTGTACAGTACTCACTTTATTATTTTTATTACAAATATTTGCACTGTAAAAATAAAAAATTGTCTTTTTCAGTACACTATTCCTACTGTCTCAATTTATTTTCCTCCATCCAATCCAACTTCTCTCTCTACTGAAAATGACCCAAGCAAAATTACCAGTGACCCCTGCCTGGCCAAGTCTAAAGGCCTTCTCTGTCTACTCATTCTCCTTTATAGCACACAGAAGGAAATATCAGGGTTAGAGTTACTGTGCCCTCTCCCTTTAAGAACTGAAGGTCTGCTGAGGGGGCTCAAAGGGGATAGTTCTGGTCGCAGCAGCAGAATTTTGGTGTGCTATGAAAAGACTGAGCTGAAATGGGGTTGTGTAAGCTGTGTGTGTGTTTTTGGACACTAAGTTTAATAAAATCCAGTTTTAAAATGGTCCCTGGTCTGGGAGTGTAACACCTTTGACACAATGATCGTCCTTTATACTCTGAAAACCTCACCTGCACGCATTTCCATGATACAATTTGTCTTCTACTTCTGACTACTCCTTCAGAGTTTTGTTTGGAAGCACCCCATTTTCTTCTCCACTGGTAAGCTTTCAGGGTAGAGCCCTGCGTGGGATTTTTTTTAATCCCGCCCCTGCTATTATAGCAGTGGGTGCTGCAGGACCTGCGGGATCCCAGTCCTGCTGCAGGGCTCTGTTTCAGGATTCTCTGTCTTCTCTCCTTTCTATATACTCATTCTCTATGTCTGGGGTCCTCAAACTCTTTCATTCTGCAGACCACTCTACAGAAATCTCTTATGGAACAGCTCCATTCCCAATACCCAAACCTACAGAGCTTACTTCTCAAAGTATTTCAATCTTTAGACCACCAGGAAGTGCTCCATGGATAACATTTTGAGAATTGTTGCCCACCCCAGCAGTTTCATGCTGATTTCACAACGAAAATTTATCTCCAGTGTCTACCCGCACTACCCCATCCTCAACATCCTGCCACTGTTTCAACCTCAAAGTGGCAAAAGGGACAAAGTGGCTTTCCTCCCAAAGCTTTTTGTCCCCCTTCATTATCACAGTTAACAACTCCATTCTTTTCCTAGTTACCAAGCCTTGCAACATGGGCGTTATGTCCACCTCTCCACAGCCAGGCTCTTGCTAAGCCTTGTCGTTTCTTCCTCTTTCTCAAATCCATTCTTCCTCTCCGCACAATCTGCTAATACCCTGATTTATGCCCTACCCATCTGCCATCTTTACTAGTAATAAGTACAACTTATACAGCACCTTCCATCCATGGATCTCAAAATTCTTCACAAAACATTAACTAAGACTGAAAACCCCTAAGGAGGTTTGTATTCCCATTTTACAAAACGGAGAGGTTAACTGACCTGCCCAAAGTCAGAGTGAGTCAGCAGCAGAGGCAGAAATAGAATTTCGCTGCTATAACCATTACCAATGCTGTCTCCAGAGGACAGGAATAAGTTCTACGCTGGCCTCCCTGTATTTCACCTATCCTCTATCCAAAATACTATGGGCCAAAGTCTTCTCCTCTTATTGCTCTGACAGTCCTCAAATCCTTTCACTGGCTTCCTCCTTTTCTTCCTGCATCAAGCCCAAACTCCACGTCTTCACCTTCAATATTCTGTACATCACGCCGACATCTCATCTTATATTTCTTCCTATGCCCCAGGCACACTCTATGTGTTACTCATACCACTCTCCTAAATGCTCCCCTGCCTCCTCCTCACAGTCTTTAATTCATATTTTTTATGACAGCTCTTACTCCACTTGGAACAGCTTTCCCTTTCCCCTGCACCATGCTACATTCCCCTTTCTAGTCACCATTTGTCAATCAAGTTACCACACTGAGCTTTCTCCAGCACCATCTGCTCCTACATTTACTTCTGATAATTTGTATTCTATTGAAGAGTTTAATTGTGACTCCGAAGGTCAGGGATCTTATCTAGTACATGGTTGTAGAAAGCTATGTACACTAATGGCACTAAATGAATAATGTTAAACAGGATTATTCAAGACAGAGCAGAAGCAGCAGCTTTGAGAAGAAAAACTCCTACACAAATATCTTCCATAATTAGGAGCAGCAGAAAGGACATTACATGTCATATGGAACATATGCATATTTCTTCCCCTAATCCTGAAGACAGGTTTCCAAAGAGTGAAAGCAGCAATATAGTTAAGTACATGACAAAAGAGCAATGTCATTTGATCCTATCTGCATGGGCAAGAACAAAGTATTTTATAACATAAGGATTGTCAGGTTAGACCTGGAGCTTGTCTACACAGTGGGGTAAGGCACTTTATGGAAGTGTGATTTCTGAAGTGCACTAAAGTATTGTGCATTTATAGTCCACATAGACCCTGCTGGTGTGCTTTAACATAATGGTGTTTGAAATAGTACTATGCTAGAGCACACATGGGAACTTATAATGCATGCCAACAGGGTTACAATTAATGCATAACACTTTAGTGTGCTTTAAAATCATGCCCTTATAGTGTGCATTACCCCACCATGCAGACAAGCTCTAGCTCTCACTCCAACATGGTAAAACATAGCATAAATGGGCCCTCTAAGTTGAGAAACAACTTCTTAACAGAAGCAAAATGTTTCCTGTTCTCTTTTCCACAAATACATCATCAAGTGATCCATCCCGTCATCCATTCCCAGCTTCTAGCAAACAGAAACTAGGGACACCATCCCTGCCCATCCTGGCTAATAGCCATCGATGGACCTATCCCTCCATGAATGTATCTAGTTCTTCTTTGAACCCTGTTATAGTCTTGGCCTTCACAACCACCTCTGGCAAGGAGTTCCACACACACAAAAGTTCAGATTCTTTCTGTGAATAGCTAGCTAGTTAGAAACTGATGTAAATAGCTAAACCAAAAATCTAGTTCAGCAAACAAGATTTCAGGGGCTGAAAATGTTTTTCTGGTCACCTGTCCTGGATCAATGCTTGGAAAAGTTTACTGAGCTTGAAATCATTTGGGCTAGTCCTGGCAAAGTGTTTCTAACCTAATGAGTTTTTGAGATACCGTGTCTGTCTTATAACTTTCAGGCCCACACTGGTCTCCGTCTAACAGTGCTCTTTGGACATGGGTCCAGATCCCTACATGTTGCTAGTATACAAACAAACAACTTTTCAGTTCTAAACTATTTAAGGTGAGATATACTTTGCACAAAACACACAAAAATTTGATCTTTAAAAAAAAAAAAAAAATAGGAGAGAACTTCATCTCTTCCAAGCTCCACAGAATCTCCCTCAAACACACCGAAATTACTTTGGTATGAAAGCTTTTGACATAGGTCCACAACAAAAAAACCCATAAAAATAGAACCAATAAAAACCCATGAAATTAGGCAAAAAGACTACTAACTCAGTGTCACAGGGTTCTGTTGAGCCAAATAGGGGCACAGTATAAAAGAAAGCCTCAACAGTGAGAGGTAAGCAGCTGAGATTCCACAGTCAACTCAGGTATGGTTGAATCACTCACTGACTTGTGTGGCAAGTTACTTTCCAGGGAAAAAGTGGGGAAAAAAATGACACTTAGCATTCCTGGATGTCCATAGGATTTTTTCCCTCTCCCTCAAATTAATGCTTGTCCCATCAGACGCCTTCACTAGTAGTTTTGGTTCAAGAAAACTGGCTGAAAGTTCCTTTGGATCTTGTGAATCTTTAAACAGCCCAAGACACGGCTAAGCATGCAAAGATTGGTGTACTCTGAACTGCTGCAGTAGGCCTATCGGGTTCTTATACCTGGCCAATTTGCCTTCACGGTAAGTCCTTCCCCAAGGATGCCGGTGCTTCTGAAGAGGCCAGACATCAGGCAGCCATAGCGTGACTGACCCCTCCATGGTATCTCCATCAGCACAAGCTGGTTCTGTTTCTCGACAATAGTAGCACTTCCCATAGAAACAGGTACTATTACCTTCAAAAACAAAAAAAAACATATCACAAGAACAGCAGTAACGCTATGAAAGCCCAAACAAAAGAGAGGAGCAGCCTGAAGGACCGTTAGAGAGATTTCCACAAAGAAGTCCTTTCAACAGTTCACTTCATTTCGCCTTCCTCTTCCTTCCCTCAAGAGGAAATCAAAACTTCTCTTTTTCTTTTGGAAAGAAGTTCCAAATGGAGAGATAACCAACAGGAAATTATTCATCTTTGACAAGATGAAAAGCTCACTTTAAAAGGATCCAGTGAATAGACAAGGGAAAACACACACACAAAAAAAACTACATTAGAAGAACATTATTAAGTTTGCAAAGTCAAGCACTCAGACATTAGGAAATTCAAAAATTTCTTGTGCTCACATGCTCAGGGTCTAATGGACTGCATATGTGGGGTTGGGAAGGAATCTTCCTCCAGGTCACATTGGCAGTGATTCTGGGGGGTAATTTGCCTTCCCCTGCAGCGTGTGGGCACGGGTCACTTGCTAGGATTATCTGGGTATACCTCCTTTAAACTTGTCCATGCCTTTACAAAGGACTCAGGCACTGGTTCATCTCTGTCCTTCCTAGTCTCTGCTTGTAGCACATAATAGCCTGACTTAATTTCGGTTGTTGGATTTAGCAGGAGGGGGCTGGTGGCCTGTGATATACAGGAGGCCAGACTATATGATCTGGACGCCCTTTCTGGCCTTAAATTCTGTGACTATGACATTGAACAACGAAGAGGAAACAAAATACTGAATTAGTTGCTCATTAAGTGAGCACTAACATCCAGTGCAGTGAATGAGAGAGGGGTCTAGTGGGAAAAAATAGTATCTGATCATGCACAAAGGGGTCAAATTAAGGTCGCACAGGCAATCTTAATTCTGGCATTTCCTAACTTCTGAGTGCTTGGCTTTGCAATCTTAATTATATTAAGTTTTTGTGTTATATCCTAGGTTTAAAAAAAAAAAAAAACAAAAATGCGCAAATGCGGGGGGGGAAATTCTATCATTCTGACACCTACTTGGGTCATCTGCAGGATTGGATCCTTTAAAACTCTATTGCAAAGACCTCTGCCATTCGAGCAAATGGAGTAGCTGATAGCAATAGTAGGTTGTCATCCTCTATGTGGACTAGTTCTGGGCGGGGCGGTGGATGGGACACTGCCAGAGGATTTCACTGCTTCTGACAGCAGAGAAATGATGAGACTTAGGAATCTTATGTTCCATTCCAGGCTTTGGAGAGAAGTGTGTTCTAATAGGCAAAGATTCTTCTGCCTATCCTTCCCTGCCCCCTCACCTTGACCCCTGCTGCTACATCCTTCCAATCTGTTTCACCCCCATCTCCAAGTCCCAGGCTGGGTCTACACTACAGCGGGGTCCGACCTAAGATACGCAGCTTCAGCTACGTGAATACCGTAGCTGAAGTTGCGTATTTTAGGTAGGCTTACCTGGCGGTGAGGACGCGGGAAAGTCGACCGCTGCCGCCGACTCCGCTGCCGCCTCTTGCCGAGGTGGATTTCCGGAGTCGACGGCAGAGCGATCAGGGATCGATTTTACCGCGTCTTCACTAGACGCGGTAAGTCGATCCCCGATAGACCGATTGCTACCCGCCGATCCGGCGGGTAGTGAAGACATGCCCCCAGTCTCTTGCCCAGCCAGCCCTAGTTCCTCTGCACCTTCTGGCTCCTCATTCCCAGTTTCCCCTCTCAGCTCCTCATTTAATCTGCTTCTTTTCTCCCAACCTCCAGTCACCCTACCACCTTGTCCTCTGCACCCCATCACCGTAGGTTTGGCTCTTGTCCCCTTTGCTTTCAAATCAGACAGATTCCCCCTCCATGCTGCTTTGGCATCAGCAAAGGGAGCACTGACAGCAAAAGAGACACTGGCTCCATGCTCCATGTAACACTCCCAGCCACAGCAAAGACAACAGCTGCGACTAGAGAGAGAAAGAGAGAGAGAGAGAGAGTCCTCCTTTAGACCCTGGCTGCAGCCTGCCTAGTGGGGATGGAATCTTCACATTTTTAAAAGGATAATAACTTGGCCAAATTTAGTCAGATTTCATAGGGGTAGCAAAAGGCACATCCCTGACACAAAGGCCACCATGTTTCTAAATTTCAAGTCCCTATTCCACAGAATGGGGGCACAAGAGCTCCCCCCCTTAAAAAAAAATAATAAGTTGCCTGAATTTTTGAACATAGGCGAAACAACAATTTTTCATTAGCCTCATTTTCTGAAACAGCTGAACCATTTTGACTGAAATTACAAAAACACACACAACCTCAGCATGAGGCAGAGACCTGGCATGGTATATTTCAGCCTGAACAGTTAAAGTCTGGCAGAGTTATAAACAACTGAAAATATAGTCCTATAACTGGAAGCGTCTGACAACCTTAATAATAAGTGCTACCAGCCCTGCCTATCATACATACATAAAAACAATACATTGTTAATGAACAGTTGTCTAAATATGTTTTCTGACAAAGAAATATGATACTTTATAATCTGATTGAAGTACTAATGGTTGTAGCACAGGGCATTTTCTGAGGCATAATGACCAGCTGGCAGGACTCTGCCCTTGAGCTATTAATCTCCAGAAAATACCCCATCAACATTACTACTATAAATTAAATGTATGAAACTGTTCTGGGACATCTAGTTATGAACATCTTATCCCGTTCTATAACCATGTTGCTATACCAGGCACACTGTTGGTGCTACACAAACATCATCATCCATCACCATCTTGTATGTTAGCAAGCCACATCATTCCAACCGTCCATTCACTTTACTCAGAGTAAAATATAATTCCATGTTTTCAATTCAGGTCTATTTCTAAATTCTTCTGACTGCTTTTGACATTAGGAAGAAAATACTTATTCAAACAAATATCTGCAAAAGAGAACGTACAAAAATTACAGGCAAACCAAAGTATTTTTTGTTGAAAAATAATCCCACCCCCCTTTCCCCACCAAACAAGGTTATACCAGTGTTAAAATCCCTCCAAAGGGCTGGAAGCAGTTTATCAGGTTCCTATATAGTAGTTAACTGTTCTACAGTTATGTCAGTTTCCCACTGCTCTTTTTTTTTTTTTTTAAATAAACATGCTTATTTTCAATGGACTGCACGATACCTAGAACCCACTTACCCAGCATCAGGAATGTACTCAGCAGCTGCTCTGTTGCAACGGGTTTGATCTCTGTACGCAGATTCACAAACCTGCCAATCACCAGTGGAGCTCGCCGGAAACCCAGAATTCTGTTTCGGGGAGGGAAGAGGGGTGACAAAGTATGAGCATTTTAACAGGAATAGCAGTTTCAAATCTAAAAACCACATCAGATCTCCAAGCCACTGAGCAAATTCAAAGATGGTTGCCTTATAGCAGGTGCTAAACTTGGCACCTCATTGGAAATTAACCCTTCACCATTTGTACCTTCTATCTTCTTTCAAGACTTTCCTTTGGTTAAGGAGGGCTGGATGTACGAGACTCCCTTTACAGCCCATCAGCAATGCTCCTATATTGGTCTGAGTGGTCACTGCAGAGCAGCATGAGATGCACCTTTTCTTCAAGGGCCAAATACAGTGTCTTCACAGAACTCAACCCCGGAAATGAGACCTCATATCACAAAATATATTGTCTCTCATGTAGCAGCTCAGAGCAAACACCACAGGGCCTTGGGCTGGCCACATGGAAAGATAATTTATACTAATTCCCAGAAACCACCTGATAAACTCTGTTGTAATTTAAACTCCAATTCAGTTAAACTTGAGAGCAGACAAGCTGGTTTGAGAGAACTGGGTGTCTTTGGAAAACACAAAGACATTTAGAAACATGAGAGAGGTGGGAAAGATAGTTTAGCAGGTAAGCACAAGTCTGTCAGTGAGTTCTGTTCCTGTGTCTGTTAGACTTACTGTGTGACCACAGGCAACTTGGGTGTTTAGGGTGGGATTTTCAAAAGTGCCGAAGTGAGTTTGGAGCACAAGTATCAATACAATTTGCACTCTTAACTCACTTAGGCACGTTTGAAAGACCCACCCTTAACCTTTATGCCTCAGTTGTCCCCTCTGTAAAATGGAAATACTTATCTCACAGAGGTACTATGAAGGTTAGGTCTTTAACATTTGTAAATTGCTTTTAGAGCCTCAGACAGAAAGCCCAAAAGAAGTGCAAAGTGTTATTCAAAATAGGCAAAGAAGAATGTTTGTCTTAACAAATCATGCCTGAGATATACAGGAGAGTAAAAGAGTCCAACAGATTTGGATGTGTGCAATTATCTAATTTGTATGAGCAAATGTGATAGCCATATGCAAAGGGGCACAGAATTAAGACTATTTAAAATAGGTATCCTTTGAAGTGTCAGCATCAGAGTTAAATATTAGCACCCTATTGTGATGAATGGGAAAGATGTCAGTTCACACCTCACCAGAACCATTGCTTAGGTATAAGACAGCACTACATGGAATCATATTCAAGAGGTCATCTTTGCAACATAACCACAAGAAACATACTTAAAAAAATAAAAAAAATAAAGCTTCCAATTTGAAGTTGTCGTGGATGCCAGAAAAAAATAGTACAAGTGGTCCAGATCCACCCCAGGTGTCAAACTCATGCTCCACAGAGACCCTTCCCACAGATCTAGGAGCAACAATTTTCGGCTCTGAAAAAACTCTGATCAGACCTTCTTAACTGAAAGTAGGCAGCTGCCACACAAGTCCTGAAGAGGTTGTAAATTACGAGAAAAAGTAGGAAAATCCAATCTCTCACTGGACAGCCCTAGAGAAACAAGAACCCAATGGCATTGGGGCAGTATCCCTTATAGAAACAGAAACTTTACTCAATTTAGTCCAATATAATCCTATTGTAGGAAAAAGTGTGGCTGAGAAAGGATATCACAGTGCCCTATGCAGGAAAATAGACCCTACTTTGCCTCCCTGATTGTGAAATATGAAAGAAAACTGGCATAAAGTTCAGAGCAAAAATAGTCTGAATATGTTTTGCTTTGTACAATTCAACACAGCAACTGTCATGCTAGATCAGACCTATGGTCGAACGTCCAGTATCCTATCTCTAACCGAGTCCAGTACCAGACAAGTCAGAGAAAGGTGCAAGAAACCACCCAGTTCCTAACAGTTCACAATTGGCTTAATATCTCTTCTAAAAGCTATTGTAGTATTAACTATGTGACCAAATCCCTTTCTGAATCTTGCTCAGTTTTTGACCTCAATGATATCGTCTGGCAATGAATTCCACAGCTGAATTGCATGTTTTGTGAAAATATATTTCCTTTTATCAGTTTTGAATTTGCCCTCTTTCAATTTCATTTAAACTCCCTTTGTTCTTGTGTTATGAGACAGAACAGAACGTTCCAATTCACCTTCTCTAGATCATTCATTATTTTGTATACTTTTATCATGTCCCCTCTTATTCACCACCTCCTTTCTAAAGTAAGAGATTCCAACATTTTCACTTTTTCTTCATATGAGAGGTTTTTTTTCATTCCCCCAATTATTTTCTATACCCTTTTCTAAAACCCCTTCTAATTATGTAATAGCCTTTTTGAAATGGAGTGACCAATACCTCAAGCAGTATTCTAGATGAAGCTGCACCACTGATTTTCCACTCCTTATGTATCCTAACATCTTATTTGATTTTTTGACAGCAGCTGCACATTGAGCTGAGGTCTTCACATTGAGCTGTCCACAATGATTCCCAGACCCCTTTCCCAAATTGATCATTAATTTAGACCCTTCTAAGGTATATGAGTAGTTGATTTTTTCCCTCCAGTGTGAATTACTCTGCATTTACCATCAATATACTTCATTTGTCATCATGTTACCCACTCACCAACCTTGGTTAGGTGCCTCTGATGTGCTTCACAGCCCTCTGTGGACTTGACTAACCTAAATAACACTATATCATCTGAAAAAAAAAAAAACTGCTTCCTCACTGCTCACCCCCCTTCCCAGATCACCGACAAATATACTAAACACAAGACCTAGTACAGAACTTTAAGGCACCCTCATTCTTCACTTTTTGACAAGATGAAAATTGACTATTTGACTCACTGTCTCTTGGTTAGTTTTTGATCCATGATAATACTTTACCTCTCACCCCATGACTACTTAGTTTCTTTAGCAGTCTCTCGTGAGGAACCTAATTAAAACCCTTTGAAAGTCTACGTAAACTGTGCCCATCTTGTTCTTTTTTATCCATTACTTTGTTGACATGTGCAAAGCATTCTAATAAGTTAGGGTGATACTATTTCCTTTCGCAGAAACCTTGTTCATTGGACTCTATCATGTCATGACGTTTTATAACGTTTTTTGTTCTACTCAATGAGCAGGTTGGAAACTGATGTCTCAGGCACCCTCTCTGAAGTGAACTGGTGCAAAAAAACCAAAACAAAAACAAGAGAATAATTAAATAGTTAACCCAATAGTTCCATACCTGTCCAAGTGAAAGGCTGCCACCTCCGCATTGTGTCTGTCATATCCAGCATATGGCTCTCCTTCTACTACGTAGTCTCTGGCATATCTGTAAATGCAATGAATGATGGAAAAACAAAATGATTTATGGGGGATTCTCCTCAGTAAAGTTAAGAGTCACACAAGCAAGAATCATTGAAGTGAAATTGGCTCTGGGTCACCTCTAAAATGATTTCTTGTGGGAGAGGAGGACTGAGTTTAGTGAGATTAAAGAGTGTAAAGATTAGCAGAGAAGTACATAGTGAGAACAGGGTAGTCACGCATTGATCTGAGTCACCTGGTAAGCTAGGACCAGTCAAACAAAATGAGTTTTAATACAACCAAAGCGCAAGGTCATACACCTCAGAGCAAAAAATACAAGCCATACCTATAGAAGACTCTATCCTAGAAAGCACTGACTCTGAAAAGGATTTAGTAGTCATAGTGGACAAAACTCAACTTCAGCTCCTAGTGTGATGATGTGACAAAAAGTGCTAGTGCAATCCTTGCATGTATAAACGGGGTCAATAACAGACTGAGAGGTGACTTGATTACAGTGAATAAGTATCTTCCTAGGGCAAAAATACCAGGAATTAACAGGCTCTTTAATCTAACAGAAAGAGACATAACAAAAATCAATGGCTGGAAGCTGAAGCCAGACAAATTCACTTTAAAAAGAGAAAAAAAAGTGCCTTCTAATTTGAAGGTGATTAACCAATGTAACAAACTACCAAGGAGAATGGTGGATTCTCCATCTCCTGATGTCTTCAAATCAAGACTGGATGCCTTTCTGTAAGATATACTTTAGTCAAACACAAGTTACTGAGATCAATATGGGGGTAACAGAGTGAAATTTTATGGCATGTGATATACTAGATGATCTAATAATTCTTAAAATCTGCAGCTAGTTAGTGCAAGTTAGACAATTAATAGCGCTAGGGACTACCCAGAACAGGTACAGCAGCAGTGCATGTCTGCCACAATATCTGCTAGTGTGCTTTAATCCTGACCCACCTTTTGGTTGAGAGGCTAGTTTATGACTAAGGCTACTATTTAATCATGGGTATTTTTAGTAAAAGTCATGGACGGGTCACGGGCAAGAAACAAAAAATCATGACCCATGACCTGTCCATTATGTATACCATAAATACCCGATTGAGTC